AATGGATATAAACACCTTGCTGTGGTCAGCTTGAACGCATTTCTTGCCTCAGGCCTATTGGGAGTTATCCCTTCTCCAAAAAGAATTGGAAATAACTTTGCACATATTACTGCTGCAGGATAATCGGCTGAATGTAACAGAAGAACTAACATCTAATAACAGGACAAGAATTCTGAATGTCCAGTCAAGGCTTACAGATGCCAAACACATTAGTTGGAGAGCAGTGCTGAACAACAACAACCTCTATATAGAAATTCCCAGTGGTGCTCTGCCTGAAGGGAGCAAAGACAGGTAGGTAGAATAAAATGCAGCTGCCGTTTCATGTGCCTCCATCTTGAAGGCCTAGCAGTAGGGTGGAATAACGCTTTGCTGTTGTAGATGTTCGCTTCCATTGTTCTGAAAGTTGAAATCTAATTGTGGTGCTTGGTGCTCTTTTGTCAGAGGCTGCAACTAAGTCACCCTGGTTTGAGGGCGGCTCCTGCCTGTTTTGTCAGGCAGAACCACCCAGGAGGTCTGTGCTTTCAAGCTGTGTTCCCTGGTACTGGGTGGCTGCTTTTATCCACTGGAAACGCCAGCCTGGTTCTGAGTCTGTCGCTGCAGTTCTCCCTTCAGCTGCAACAGAAAAGCGTGTTTTCAGTGTTACTGAAGACCTAGGTTTCTGCCTCAAGTTAAACCCAGGGCTCAGGCATTTCCCGTTGGTGTGTCTCCAACGATGAGCCTCCTGGGCCTACGAGTTCACGTGCAGATTGGCTCTCGGGGCCTTGCTAGCTATTTCTGAAGGAAACGTTTGCTCATGTGCATTGAACACCTTGTATTTGTCTTGCAGTTTTGCAGTTCTTCTAGAGTTTGCTGAAGAACAGCTTCGAGTTGATCATGTGTTCATTTGTTTCCACAAGAACAGAGATGATAGAGGTAGGTGTTAACTCATCGCACTGTCTCTAGAGATGTCAGTGCAGTATTTGACGTTGGTTTTGGTGGATGCTCTAACTTGTACAGGAACAAATGGATGAAACCTGTTTTCTGCTTTTTTTTCCTAGCTGCATTGCTCCGTACTTTCAGCTTTTTGGGCTTTGAGATTGTGAGACCAGGGCATCCCCTTGTCCCCAAGAGACCAGATGCTTGCTTCATGGCCTACACGTTTGAGAGAGACTCATCAGAAGAAGAATAGATTGCAATGTTTGCCTCTTAGAGCTTTCTTGTTGTCTATAAAGATGATTCTGTAGAAATTTTGTCAACATCTATTACAGTATACATAACTCTATATGATGAAATGTTGTGACCAACTGCTCTGGTGGTGAGATGTTGAAAATTTCAGACTCCACATCTTTTTCTGGATTTGTGCGCATGTTGTGATTGTGCAAATAAATGCTCCCTCCAAATTAGCAGTATATTTCTTGAAGTTTAATATTGTGTTTGTGATACTGAAGTATTTGCTTTAATTCTAAATAAAAATTTATATTTTACTTTTTATTGCTGGTTTAAGCTGTTTAAGACTTGCACTCTGAAGAGATGGCTCTGGAACTGCCCCAACCATTAAAGCTGCAGGTGTGGAAAGGTGTTGCTCATTCTTTCCTTGACTGGAATTCATGGCTGTGATCTACCAGGACTTGAAATAATCCAGCAAAAGCCTACTTTTAGTGAAACAATTAGCAGGTTGTCCATGTCCACTGGTAATTAGGAGCATTGCATCCCTGCCCTGTCAATGTTTCATAGGCTACTTCAGGGCATGTGTTACTGGAAAGTCACAAGTGAAATGCTGAGAAGCGTGGCTCGCCAGTGCCTTTTGAGTATCAAATACACAATTTTGATACCTGAGGTCTCAGTGTTACCGGTAACAGCGGAGTCACGCTAGTGTGTGTTAAGCACGCAGGATGCCTCGACGAGTTCTTTGGCTGTGATCTGGGAAGGCTTGTGGTGCTTCCACAGCTAAAGGCTGTCATGGAGGCTGGGTGGCCTCCTGAGCTGGAGCTGCACCTCCACTGGGGAGACAGACTGGGGCTGAGGCCCTGGTCAAGCAGTGCCTGTTGTTGGGATCCATGGACATCTGTTAGTGTTCAGGATACTGAACAGGAGGGAAAATGGCTGCTTGTGTAGTGCTAGAACTAACAAAACTCGTGCTGAATTTACTAGAGAGAAGTCTCCGAAGGGCTGTGCTTCAAAGCATTGTATTTCAAATTTTTTCCAGTACTTAACACTTGTGGCTTTCCAGGCTTGTTTGGCACCATTTGAGCTGATTAGTCTTTCCTCTACAAAGCCTTGGAGCAGTGAATCCATGGGATGGGTTCTTTTACCAGCTTGTTACGCTCTGAGTCGGTGTAAATAGAAGCACGTGATCTTCTATGATTCTATGAAACTTCTATGACTCTATGATTCGTGAGCGCGTGCTCTGCCGGGGGCCTGGCATCCCCAGGAGCCTGGCTGTAGGAGCTCTGTACATTGTGAAATGTACGTGCGGGGGCCTAAGGATCACCCCGCAGGTCATCCCTGGGCGGATGTTCTGGGATAAGCAGAACTGGAATCGCATGGAATACACTCAAATGTGATCCCTGAAATTCTCTTCTCGGAGACACATCAGGGAACAGATCCTGTAGCAGGATCTGCAGCATGAAGTAACCCAGGAGGATGGCACCATGTTCCCAGAAAGCCTGCTGTTAAATTTGCAACGCAGCAGCGGGTGGATGTTCTGGGTGGTCTGTTTAATTGGCTTCAGACATTTATATCAGCCTCTTGCTAACGCCCAGCTCGGGCTGTGCTCTGCTCCCTGCGTCCCGGGTTTGGCACGTAGCGCAGCCGTCACCTCTGCTGGGATCAAGGCTCCAGGCTGTGCTGAATGCCAGAGGTCTCCTTCCCACAGGTCTTTTTCCAATTTTTTTTGTGGGCCTGCATTTGTGCTTTTCCTGTGGGTTTTTTTGGAAAGCTGTGAACTTGCTGTTCTTGGCGTGCTGAAGGCCAGCAAAGAGGGGGTGGGCATGAGCGGGGAGGGGGTGTTCCTCCTTTACTCAACAGGCTGGCAAAGGTCTGAAGTTCATAAACTGGTTCTCTAGAGAAATTCTCGTTTTCCTCTGTGCCGTGGTCTGCTTTCTGCATGGACGTGCGAATGTGGAGATGCACGTGCTCCTGCCTTGAAGGCCGTGGTCCCCGGTTTCACTGACCTTGGGTGCTCCGAGCGGCTCCTGGCGAAGGGGAAGGGGTCACCCAAGGCGGAAACCAGAAATGGGTGCAGGGGGTGCTCGGAGGTGCCGGCCTGGGGCTGGGGTGGGCCTGCAGGCGCTGGCAGAAGCAGGTTTTGTCTTTGTTTTTCCAGGATCAGGTGCCCAAGGTGGCTTTGGGCGAGCTGCTGCTGTGCCACGGGCTTTACTGCCATCTTGTAGCCACGCAAGATACTACAGGAGGGACGCTGGGGACTGCAGGGCTGGGCTCACCCAGGACAAGCCCTCCTGCGTGGTTTTTGGCCCAAAAGGCCATAGTGAAGTTTGAACGACGTTTTTGTGGACCAGCCATGCTTGGGCAGTGACCGTGTCAGGGTTTGTGTGGCCGGGGAGCTTGTTCGGCCCCCCCTTGCTCCTCCAGCCTCGGCAGCGAGGCCACGCTGCCGGGTTTGGGTGCTGCTCCCGGGGGGAAGGGTCCCCCGCCGCGCTCGGAGCCTGGCACACAGGGGCTGTGGTCTCGGCTGGTTCTTTGGCCCCGCTGCAGCCCAGGTGATGAGGCTGCTGCCGGCCCACGCTTGGCGGGCAGGGCAGGAGGCAAAAACCCACCGACCAGGGGAGCTGGGAGCGTGCTGCTCTCTGCTTTCATCCTGGGGGGGGTCACAGCTCCGGTTTACCAGGGCTGTTCATTTTTTGAGCTCAGGGACTCCTAGGAGGAATTCTCCTCGATCCAGCCGTGCGACTGGCTCCGGTGACTGCCTGGTATGCCACTGCCCACGTCCACGGGCAAGCCGGGGCTTAGCTGTGGGGAAGCCGGGGAAGGTCCGTCCCGCTGCGTGCACAGCCCACGGAGGCAGCTCTTCCTGCTGTCAGGTGATAGCTGCGAGTGAATTAATAATTACTTACTTAATAATAATATAAAGGACGAGAGCAGGGCCTTGCACGGCATGCCACTGTGATGGCCACCCGGCATCCGCACGGGCTTGGGGACCGGGGCGCAGATCCCATGTGGTGCTGCGTGTTTTATACCGAGCAGCAGATGCAACAGCCCAGCCGTGGTGCAGCCAGAGACCGACCCTGCAGCCTGGTCCGCGGCGCAGCAGCCATAAACTGACCCGAGCTATTCACTAGACGCCATCGAGGCTGTTCTGGCTAATCACCGCCTGGCAGCGAGGTTTGGCTTTGTGTTTCTCCCTGGATAGATCACTGGGGTGTGTAATGCTGTCAAAGCAGCACATAAAGGACCAGTATTTAAGAGGCTCAGCTCTGGGTTTTATTGAAGCTGTGTGGCTGTTGTATTTCCCCTTTTAAAATGTCATTTGTATTTGTGACTATGCCACAGACGGTTTCTAAAAAGAGCAGGCTGTACAAGGTATTGTATTTCTCCTTTGCTAATGGTGCACTAAGGTGAGCTGTAATGTGTGGCTCTGCGTTGTTATGTGAAACGGCAAAAGCCTCGTGGCCGCAGGAGGGGTCTGAGGGGGTTTTGTGCAAAGTCTAAGTCCTGTAAACTTTACTCAGGGTAATCAGCCACTAAACTGGCGCTTGATCCTGCGGCTTCCATCCAGCTGTCTTTCCTGAGATGCTCCGATAAACTGAACTCACGGCGTCAAACAAAAATTGGCCGAGGGTGTAAAAACACACCCTGCGTTGTGGGAGGCCCGGGTGGGCGTTTGGTCCCAACTTCATCTCACATGCTGTGGGGGAAGCGGGTTCAGGTTTGCAAACAGAGTTTTCCCAGCCAGGACCAGCTTGGGTTCCTTGTGGGAGACGGCAGCTGGTGGATTTGGCCAGGTCCCCATGGACTCTTGGCTTTAGGGAGACCTTCTGGGTGGGCTGAACTTCAGCTTGCCTTTAGGGCGTGTAGAGAGCCTGGGTGACTTGGTAGAGTTTGTGTTCAGTGACCTCCTTGAAGTACTGGCAGCACAGCCACTCCTCCAGGCCGGGGCTTGCCCCTGCCCCAGCCGAATTTTCGGCAAACTTCAGGAGCAGCAGAGTCCTCTTCACCTCCACCCAGCTCCGGAGCAGGGTGAGGGTCTTCTTGCTCCTGGCGAAGAGCTCCTGGCGAGGCCCCCAGAGCAGGACCTGCAGGATGCTCCTTGCCTGCTCGATGGAGACCCTCTTGCAGGGATCTCTATGGAGAAGCAGCATGGCCAGGCGCTTGAGTCCCGTGGAATAGATGGACAGGGAGGGGATTTCAGGAAGTCTATTGCTTCTGAACCCCAAGGTGTTTTCCAGAGAGATATCCACATGCAAGATCTGGTAGATCAGCATGCCGACATTCAGCTCATCTGCCACCGGGGAGGGTGGTGCAGCAAGCCCCTTGGTCCAGTCCTGCTCTTGGCTGGTAGAACAAGGTCTTTGCTTGCCTTTAACCTTGAAGAAGCTGCTGATGACCAGCCTTGGAAGGGACAGGGATGCCTCCTTGCCTTGCTGGCTCCGGGGAGGACACGGGCACTGCACCAGCAGCAGGTTCTCAGGGCAGAGATCCCCCTGCCCCACGTGCTGCACCTGGAGGTGCTCCAGCCCCATGCACACCTGCAGGAGAAGGAGGCAAGCCAGGCGTTCGTAGTGCCCGGGGCTGGTCCTGTGCAAACTCTGGGATCCCTTCACAAAGCCCGCCAGGGTCTGGTAGGGCACGTCAGGAGAAATAAGGACCTGCAGGACAGGGCGGAGGGCAAGACGGGCTGGCTCCTCTCTAGAAGGGGACTGACTCTGCTCCCCAGGGCTTCCCGGGAGCACCAGCTCCCAAGGGAGGCGGTCGGTGAAGCGGCCGATCAGGCGCTGGATGCTGCAGTGCGCCCCGAGGGAGCTCTGCACCCCCAGGCCGGTGCAGCCCAGCTTGGGGACCTGCAAGGAGAGACAGGACATGGCCAGCTGCGCGAGGACAGGGCCACGGGGTGCCTTGTCCTGGGCC